AGAATGGAACACATGTGATTTATTTTACCGTTCATTTTGTTCCCTAAATGTGATTGTGCGATGGAAAAAACTGAAAAACCATTGTTTTATTCAAAAGTTTTCTGAATATCCTTTTGGAAAACCATAGGTTTTTGAAATAAGTCTATCTTTGGTAGATTTCTTATAAATACAGTTTAGAGTGGCATATGGTTTTTGGATCTATTTTTAATTATAAACATTCTTCCACACTTAGCATGGCCGATGATGTATGTTCCATGCGATTGAAAGGTTTATTACAAGTTACCGGATATCATTACTAGGACTTCAAGAAACTCCGATGCAATACTTCTCGCGCTGAAAGTTAAGATCTCGCTTGGCTTCCATTTTGAAGAGGACACTTTGAGCTATTTTCTCACAGAAAGAATCCTCTATATAGTCACCACTATACGGCCACCTTAAGCGTTGATGAAATAGGCTAGTTTTCCACAAATCTTTTCAAAATCCCACTTCAGAAAAACTGGCTCTTCTCGTGTTTGAGTTATTCAAAAAACAACTAACAACACTGCTTATTGAAACTGACGCTACTTTTATCGAATTCACTGGCATATAACTTTCTCCGTCAGACAAATAAATTAGACATTAATAATTACATCATTCAAATCTAGAAGCTCAGCAGAATCTTCTTCAATCTGTAGTGATGATGGGTTATTTCCAATAGTCAATCGACATTTAATATTCTCATTACCCATAAAAGATAATACATGATGGCCAAAGTCCAGTTTCAACGTAATTTGGACGTAAGGTCAACATCAACGAGAAGAAATTATTGGAAATGATTTATAACTAATACATTATGTTCGGTGGTAATTCCTACTAACGTGATATCAGCTAATACTGTTCCAGGTGGAGACGATCTACTACCATTGGCCATTTTAATGATGGACCATTATATACCTTAAGATGATATTTAATTTGATCAATTTTAAGTCAACTATCCATACCAGCTCCAGTGACAGTAGAGCGTTTAACCAGGATCGCATCACGAAACTAGAACACCGCTTAAATAATTTGTTTGATATTGTCGATGGTTAGTAGAATCATTACGAAATTTTCCATTTTGTGAATTGGAACAGTGTGGTCGTGTATGTCCTGGTTAGTGACATTGATAACAAACAAATGTGAAATTGATGACACTGACGAGTGGACTTTGAGTAAGAAGTTCGGCGATAAGAATCTTTTTTTTAAATCATTAATTTCTTTGAATGCATTCAAACTATGCTTTCCACCTTTCAGAGTTCAAATACTGATGATAATAATCATCATGGAATTAGATGAACAAATGACTTCAGTTTTATTAAACTAAAGACTTGATCATTATCCAAATTTAATACATGATGATCAATACAATACAAATGATTTTATTCTTATTTATAGTGAAGAAATCTTAATTAATATTAAACAAGATGATGATAATAACGCAATATGTAGTCAAGTTTATGCTTGCTAAATGCTCTGTACTATGTATTTTGTTTAGAATATCAAAACATTTTTAAGTGTTATGGAAACGGGGTAAGTGAACAAAGAACTTCTTTTTCAACAGAACGCTTAGTTTTCTACTCAGAAAGTTCATTTTCATTAAATTTTTTATTTTTATATATCTTTTTTGAAAATTAAAATTAGCAGAATAAAAGCATTTTTACGTTAAATAATTTCCTCATCTGTTTTTTCAAGGAATATTGAACAAAAATTTTTTGCACTATCCACAACTGGGATTTCCAGGCTGCTTTCGCTTAATATTAAAAAATTCACCATTTACTCGTAAAACATGCGAACGAGCTGGAAACTTCAGAATATACCCTGTTTAGGTCATTCTATATCCTACTAATAAGAAATCTATAAAAGCTAATTTTTATAGAACCCTATGGTTTCTCGAAAGTGTTTCTAGAAAACGTCCGATTACAGACATGCTTTTTCAATTCCTTCGTTATATAATCATGTTAAACGGACAAAATTAGCTACATTCTGAAGTTTCCAACTCGTTCTGATGTTTTACGAGTGAATGATGAATTTTTAATATTAAGTCAGAACAGCCTGGAGACCCCAGTTGTTGATAAAACTCGGTTTTTACTCAGTTGAAATTGGTTGGGCTGAGTACCAGTCCTGATATCCCGCCCGAACCACTAACAATCAAGATCTCACTTGATTTCCATTTGAAGAAGATACTTTGAGTTATCTGTTCATGAAGAAAATGAGTTGATTCTCCAAAGATCTCCTCGAAAACTGCTTTGAAAAAATATTTTCGAATTAATAACTGTTATTAAAATGCGTACCAATTTCGAATGGCGAAAACCCGAACTATCTATCACTCGAGATATTCAAAAAATGGTCAGAGACATTATATTTTGAAAACGATAGTAGTACTAAGGTGGCAGGTTTTTATTTTTTTAGTACTAATTTAGTATTAATGATAAGCCTTTTTGAGAAATCATCAGCCGTTTGACACAGAGCATTTATTTAATGAAGACAAGACGGATCCACTATATTCCATTCGGAATGTATGCATGATCAATAGTTGTCAAAAAACTGAATAGTTTTCTTATTCAAATGTTGTTCATAATATAGTTGTTTAGGCAAATAAAACGATGAATGAAAAAGTCAAGAGTAACAAGGTATAAAAGTTTTACTGTAGTTTTTAAAAAAGAATAGAATTGGACATTTTTTGAATAACTTCTGATTGACAATAGCTAGAGATCTGCAGTCTTCAGCAATAGAAGGAGGAATGTTAGGAATGTTAGTCTACGGAAAAAGAAAAAGGAAACTACCACCTGCGGGTAGTGAAACTTGTTCAAACATTTTTCGAAAGATTTTTCACCACTAAAAGGTTTTTTGTTTGGGATGCATGCTGGAAGGCTCGAACCAGTGGACATTCGTCTACAAATCTACGCAAGTCTCTGATCGCTATCTACCATGGTTTAGACGTGATGGGACTTTTCCTGGAGACTCGGACACGATATTTTTTTACGACGGGGAATCCTAAAAATACATACTGCATGGGTTGGTTATCGACTATATTGAATCTCGTGACAATGTTCGGCTTTAGAAAAAAATTTAAAAACCTAGTAAAAATCCAATTACACTGAAAACATGATTTTCAGTCTATTTTCATCTAATAATAGAAATTTCATAACTCAATCAAAGTGAACCAGAAATACCTGCAAATCGCAGCAGATATGTCAGCGTTATGTCTCATCCGAGTCGATAACTTAAATCTTCTACAAAATTAATTATTTTGTAGAAAACTAATAAAAACATAACATAAAATTCACACACATATCTATACATATGTATGTATAGTACTACATAACAATGCTCTAGCACTACGTAGTATATCCGAATATTCTGGAACTTCGCATCATCTTGGAATGTTCCGCAATATCGCATCATGTTGGAATAGTCTGGAGTGTCCTATCATCTTGTCCTATCATTGATGATCTAACAGCCACATTATAAAAAGCCAAAACAGTATTGTTGGGTAGTAAGATTTTTCCGGAAACCATCTTGTGCAGATAGAAGAGATGTTGAACAGTTAATTGCACAAGCACAAACAGGCAGGATGGACATTCTTAAGAAAAAAGTTGTTCTACCACAATCTCTGCAGATAAGGTTCAGACCGAATTCCGGTCGATGATGTAATGTATGACAAAAAAAAACGAAAGAACACAGAATACTATCCCTGTTTTGAAAATGGCCGAACAGCGTAGTTTTGCAACGAACACGTTGAGCTATCAACCCATTGGGTTAAAGAATTATTTTAGCTTTCCTCTTCTATCATTTTGGATTCCCAAGTTATTTAAAAAATAAAAAATAAAAATAATTGATTCTACCAGTAATACTGATGTCAGTAGTAACGGTTCTCAGTACTCATTGCATTTTGTAACAGAGCACTTTAAGTGCCGGCATTAGCTTTTTAGTTTTTCAGTACTAACGAATCTATACTTTTACTAGTGGTGACTTACCTTTTTGAGTTAACTATTCGACAGAACTACTTACCATAGGAACTGTTTATGAAGGAAGCTAGGAATGATCTTGTAGCGTTCAAACTTACCTGATGCTCTCCAGTTTTATGTCTGACTACGAGTATATGGGATTCTAGATTTAGCAGCATTGATCTAACAATTTGAGATCGGTTACCAAACATCACTTCCCAGTTCGACAACCCATGCATAGTCTGTCAATTGTATGACGAGAAAACTGACTTTTGATTGGCTAAAAATAATAAACAATTAATTGTACCATTTCCGACGCCCCGGGTTATTATTTCCACATGTAGATGGCGAATATTTTGAGATGTTAGAAAAGATACGGAAAATTAAGTTAAACAACATAATCTACTTGTCTCTACCTATCGTGTTCTTTCTGTTGCATCCTTTTGATTTTTCCCAGTTAATATCTCAACTTGTTTTTGTTACAACTGAAAAACATTCTTATAAAAGACATTTTTCAGTGTTTCAGGGAGAAACTATAGCGTGAGACAAGAAATAAAAATGCACAAAAAAAAAGGAGAGAATTGAATAAATTCGCTATTACACATGCATCGCCAGTATGCAACATCCTAATCAATTCTCCACACGACAAATACAATTCACTTCGCAAAAAAAATTAATGACTAAAGTAACAGATGAACATCACAACCATCTTGGTACAACAAATATAAAAGATATGTACACAAGAGAGAAAACGTGTGATACTGACAACACAGACGAAAAAGATAGGAAAACTGACAAGAAAAAAATCTGATATAACATTCAAATGAAATGTAGATAACTACACATGATTGCAATAATCATATATACATCGAAACGAGACGATAAAGAGATTCTTAAGAATAATTGTTTTATCGAAATAAAAATTTAAATTTATCATTCTCTTTTCATAGTTTTGATTGTTTTGTAGTTGGTATCCTAAAATATTCGAAAAGAATTTGAATTAATGTAAGGAGTGATAAAAAAAAGATAGATAACTCACATATCTAATAAATAATTGGTGAGTGCAGGATTTTGTCTCATCGATGCTAAACCAGGTATCTGAGCTAGAGTTGATGGTGATATGGTTCCACCTGCAAACGGTAGCATGTTCGATAAAAAATGTTTCTGAAACATTTTTAATTGTTCAGCAGAAACATTCGTCGTATTAAGAGCCGCTGCTAGCGCAGCAGCAGCTGTTGTAGTACCCGAAACAGTAGACGATAATAATTTCGTTGCTTGTGACAAAGAATTAGTCGGTGGTGACGATGTATTATTTCTTAAATTCGACGACGACGATGTTTTTAATTGTGATAAAGGCGGCGTTGTATTCGATTTTGTACTTGAAAAATTGTGATTTTGATTCATTTTCGTTGAATGTTGTTGTTGTTTCGCTGATGTTTTTGATAAATGATTGCTATGTTTATGATTTGATGGTTGGGCCGTGGAGGGAGTTGTCGATGTATGTGAAACCGGGGACGAAGATGATGATTGTGGGATGTTTACTGTGTTTTGAAATTTAGCTTCGAGATCTTTTTCTTGTTGTAATGCTTTGATAAACGCTTGCCGCAAACGATTCGAATGATCTTGTTTTAATAATTTCTTTTGATTTGTTTTCATACAACGATCACATAATACATTATTATTCGTCGCATTCTCGTCTGTTTGATTACGTTCATCGGTATGCCATGTTACAGACCAATCTGTATTACACTGAGAGCAGACAAAAGGCATAAAAGTTTTAGTTGTTGGTATTGTTGAACTATCTCCCGGCGATGATTGCTGTAATAGTGGACGACGAAATAGACTATCGTTATATGTTTGAAGTGCTTGTTCGGCACCGATTATAGCAAGAAACTCAGACCAACCATTGACCCCTGGGATGAAACTCAGATCGCTTGTTGATGGTTTGGGGGTTGGAATTTGTAATAATGTTTGTTCTAATTGTTTTCGCAATGCTAATTTTGCATTCAACAAATGTTGTTCAGCCGAAGTCGAACCTGTAAGTAGATAATAAAATTCATTATCAATCTGTTTTTAATAAAATGTATTTTTGATTCTAGCAGTCTATAAAAGATATCGATCAATAAAATAGAACAGCTCTTACTTTTTTGATTTGATGTTAGAGAATTTCTTGAAAATGCTTGTGAGGTATTATTTGACATTTGTGATGGTATTGTTGATGAGATACGAGTTGCTTGTTGTGGCATTGAAGAAGATTTTTGTTGATGGTTTGAACGGTTCACTGTGTATTGATTTGGATGGGAAGGTTTACTCGATGGTTGCATAGAAGGACGATTGTGGAGCTAAAACAAAGATACATATGTACTGAGGGACACTAATTTATCTCATATACAAATAGACAACGTAATCTCATCTAAAATTATCTTTTCCTTCAAATAGTTCCCCTAACATGGTTCACTTCGTTTTATCCAAAAACTTATTTTGGCTCATCTGTATAGAATGGCACAGAATGCAAAATCTTTTAGCATTCGACTGTTCAAAAAGTTGACTTATCCTTTTGTCATATGTAGAAAATCTTTCAAATTCGGTTTCGATTCTGTGCCATCCAGTAACAGAATCTGTTACGGCACCAGTCGAGATTAACCAAAGAAAGCTCGTAATGTAATTCTTTTCAAACCTGTTGCTGTTGTTGTTGTTGTTGTTGTGGTATTTTACTAGCACCTAATTGTTTACTAGACAGTTGTTCATTATTTAATTTTGTGGTGGATGCTTCACTTGATGATAATGGTTGTTTTTGTTGTAATGTCGATTGTTTATTAATTGAATTTGAACTGGTATTACTATTATTGGTAATTGGACGTTTTAAGTGTTGGATATTTGATGATGATGAAACCGTATTATTATTTGTTGTTCGTTGCTGCAAGTGGATATGTTCATTATTCACAAGTTTTTGATTTATTTTTAATTTTTGCATAAGCGTTAACATTGCTTCATGACATTGTAATTCTTTTTGTAGTCGTCGCAATTCTAAATGTTTTTTTGTTAGTAAATATTGTTTTGATTTTGTTGTCAAACCAGTTGTTAGTAATGTTGATGACGATTTTTTATCATCTATATCTGAACTATTAATACCATTGGTTAGTGTCCAGGATGTTGTAGGAACAACACCATTGTTGAACGGAAATGATCCTTGCTTTGTCGCTGTTGTTGTTGCTGTTGGTTCAATTTTCACTGGTATAAAATTAGATAATCTTCTATTTTTCGATTTTTGTTGATGTTCATGTTCTTTCATATTTTCTGATATTATGGATGCTGATGGTGTATCTCTAATAAATGAGACAAAACTAACTATAACAACATTATTTTTATTTGTATACAATCATCGAGAAAAGAAAATGTATATTATTTAGACTATAATTCAGTTGTAGTTGAGCTGGCATGGAGGTTTTCTTTTTCGGTATTGTTATTGCGATCATCATGGTATACACACAGAAGATACAACACAATAATAATAAATAGAGAGAGAAAGAGAGGAAGGTAAGGGAACGGAATACCGCATGAACGTTGTCGTGGTAATCATGTTCTCTTCGTCCCATGTACGCAATATCTCTCTATCACATGTACGTATACATACTGTACCAGCATAAAAGCAAAGGAAAAGAACAGAAAAAAAATAAGATAAAATAAAATTTCTTTGAAATGAACGTTGTAGTATGTATGTGACGATGTTTAACAGAACAGAAAAACTACTATAAATTGATTATTAGACTACCAATCGATATACAACAACATGTTAAATGAATAAGAACTTACCCAGAACAGAATCGCTTTGAATATCTTTCACGATTATGTTCATCGGTATACGAGGAGGATGAAGATAATCGTTTGGTCAACATCATCATTTGAGTGGCAAGACTACGCTCGATTTCAATAATTTGAAAGAAAAAACTATTAGATGAATAATATAAAAGTTGAAATCTAAAAAATAGATAATAAATAATTAGTAAGCTAACGAATCAAGCGTCTTTCATAACAAGGTAAAAAATTAGAATAAATTCAGTAGAATTCGATTACAATTCTACTAATTCACAAAGATTGATTTTTCCAAAAATAATCTGACGAGGTAAAACAGAACGCTATGACACAAAGAATATTATCATAGTAGAAAAAATCATGAGAGAGTGAATTTATTTAAATACTGCAATAATGTACCAATGCTGACTTGAGATTTTAACAACATTGAATATAGAATGATTGCTACAAGTGATCTACTAAGATACTACAATATAAATTAAGGAGAAAAATAGACCTAGACGTACTTCCCAATGAAATCTAATGATTAAGTATGTCACGAAATTTTGCACAGAAGTACAAGAATATTGGACTCAACTACGTACGCCGACTTATCTAACTGTATCCAATCAACATATTGGACAATCAATAAAAAAAACTATATTGATCTATTTATTGATGGTTTTTTCATAATATAAAATAAAATACTGCATTTTATTTCGAGAAATGATATCATCTGAGTGCTAATCTTTAATGAAAACAGAATTAAGTAAAATTTCATTCTGTTGACGATCAGTCTATGATCATTTTGACAGCTGATTTAGTTCACATAATCAGAGCAGAAATAGTAGTTAAAGAAACGGAACTAACACGCTCGATCTCGTTTAAAATTAGCATAATTCTGTACTAAACGTGAGAACAAATGACAAGCCGTCATAGAGTACTAAGTCTTCGTTCAAAATATCCCTTATGAGACTTAAACGCATCTGAGTTGAAATAGATTAAAAATATGCCAACTTAATCGACTCAGTCGATTAAATGATGCCGTACTTAACTGACAACTGGTAAAAACTATCGTATTTTTCCAAATATTTTTTCCACTGAGAAGAAACTATGTTGCTTTGAATTGAATCGCATTGTAAGAAACATTTTTTGTGCAAAAACTCCTAAGACAAGCTCTGACAATGAAAAAGATTTCATTTTCGTACAACAGCTATCAACGACTGATTTTCAACCTTTGTGGTGGGAAAATACATAAGACACTGATTGCAGCTGGTTCAACCCGAATAATTCAATTTTTTAGTCGGGTCGCTTTCAACTCTGAGAGAATTACAAGCATTTCGATAAATAAACAAAAAAATAGATAGACCAGAGTTTCTGAAACAGTATGATGTTCAAAATCTTACCGCATTTTTATCAACAATATCAATTTTATTTCATTTTGATATTTTTTATGCGCTTAACTGTTTTGTTATCTTATGCAATAACTTCTACTTACTCTTCTAAATGATGTATAATATTATATTATATTAGTGCACGTGCGCGATGTAGTCGTCAACAACATTTTTTTCTTATGTTGTTTAAGTATTATATTTCTTTTGTTTTTTCTTCCGATTTTTTGTTCGTCTTTTCTTTTTTTCATGATACACAACAAATCTTAAGTCTCTCGTTATGCTGACTAACAATAGCACGCATATTGTAAATATATATATTGTTCAGATATAATAATAAATGAACACACCTGTTCTGATCCTGTAATATTGTGTATACATAGCCTGAAATGGTAAACTTACTTATGTGGTGTTATTTTTAAAAATTAAAGACTTTTTCTTGGATGATGTGGTAGTTTGTTGAGTAAAATACATAAAAAAAGCAAAAAGAAAAGGAAAGTTCAATACAAAAAAGAAAAGGATATAGAGAATATAAGTTTGTTCATACAGATTGTGCTCATCGAAGATGAATTATTCGTTCTTACCACACATATATATATACACAAAACAAAAAAAAATAGAAAGAACTATACAATTTGTCTGCGCTTTCTGTTTTAACTAACCTTACACATATTCTATTTCTACACATTTCATTTTCTTTTTTTTACAGAAATGTCACAGGGGGGGAGGGACTTTCGGTCTGACTCGTGTGTGCGTGTTTTAGCGAGAGAATATACTCGTAAACAAATAAAAAATGCTTCCCGTTCTATATGATGAAAGAATAATAATAACACAACGTTTTTCTTGAGTCGCTAGTTATAATGATGACAAAGAGAGAAGAGCACATACCATTCAACTGAATATGCACTGGACTTGCATAGGTTTGCACACACAAACACACGTACAACAAAATATGATAGCGAAGAAGAAAATCCAAAGAAAAGTGACGTTAATTATTACACATAAAAAAACAAAAAAAAAAGAAGAATCTAAAGAAAGAAAACCTTTTTTAAAAAAATCTCGAAAGAACAAAATATCTTCTTTTATTCATTTACTCAATAGGTTATACAGATAGCACAGAATGTTATTTCACACATAATGCGCATTCAACTAGGATATCTATCTACTTGTCCAAAAACGAAGAGTGAATAAATACATTTGAATAATTGTTCGAAACGTATGAAAGATTTGAAAAGTAAAACGAGTATGAAAATATGGTAGATATGCTTGAAAGACGATCTCATAGCTCACTATTATACAACTAACATTACCTATCATATCTATGTCATTCAGAAAAAAAGGAAAAAAAAACGAGGAAAAAAAACAATAATAACAACAAAAGAGAAGAAATTTGATGGTAGGTCTTCTTCGCACATATTTACATATCCAAACAGATGAACATGCGTAATTGAGTAAATAAATGAATTAATACTAATTATATTAACTCCATTATATCAATAGTTACGGAAATCGCCAATATCTTTAATCCTTCATTAAACTATAGTAATATTGCATCGATAACTTCATTGAGCGAAGTTAATCGATGAATTCATTTGTTGAATCAAGATGGGCATAAAACAATATTTGTCTTTCAAATGCGAGTAGAATTGTATTCTCATTATGGGATGATTCATAGCTCACCTGATAAAATATATTTATTTACTAATATCAGTATAACCTAACGGTATTGATCAGCAGGATGGTAACAACTTTAATTAAAATAGTAGTGTCTGATGGTATCAGAAATATGTTTTGTAGAAAGTTTTCCTGAAATTATTAGGTACCCTGAAAAACTTTTCTCGAATGCAACGAGTTTAAAACGCTATATATTGTTGAAAATGCAACAATAAGCTCTAGATCTAGACAAACAATGTATCAACTTCTCTTCCGTACATAAACGTGAAGTTGTCGTCGAAAAATGCGTGCGCGATATTTAACAATTATGTATAGTTCAGCTAATAGTTGAATTATCGATCACTTTTCACTCAAAGACGAATGAGGAAACTACATATGCATCAATTTGTTGCCTTTTAGAATCCATATTATGAAAATATCAGACGGTCTCTTGTGTAAGAATACTCCGTCTTACAAGCACTTTTCAATTTTGTTTTCTAATAAAAAGGTAACAGACTATACGTGCTGCTATAAAATCATAGTAAATTTTTAAGTAGATATATTTTTAGAAACTCTGTAAACAGGCTTTCGTAAGGATCAAACGTTTCTTTATAAAACTATATAACTCAATGTATGAAAATAGCGTCTATGTTGACACGGATTTGTTTCTTTGCGTTGAGTATAGTTCTCAAACATTTGCATTTTCCATAGGTGCAAGCTGAACTACCAAGTGTACAACCATGTTGACATTATGTTTTCAAAATATTCATAATTGTAAACTTATTTCAAATTCGAATCTTAGGAACATCATACACACACAAGTTCGGTAACATATCTGAATATTTCGTTTAACATCGTTCAATTTCTACTCAAGTAAACAACATACCTGTGGATGTCCAAATAAAATATCTATCATAAGGCCAATTAATTGTAATGGATTTAGCAAAAACTGAAAATGGACAAGTTTCTGGTTATTTAGATGACACAATGGTGTTTTCCAAATAAAAAGAAAAAATTACACCTTAGAGTTGAAGAAAATTCAATATTTTACTATGAAACTATATCTGTTGATTAATATTTTTAACTGTAAGAAAGTGAAAGGTGAGAAAATGAAATTTTTTTTTGTTCAACTAAATGGAATCGTGTTAGTCAGAGATGATAAGAATAAACAACAGCATTCTTCTCACTCGACTTCAATCATAGAGACATTTAAATGAGGGTGAATGTACGTAAAGATACATATATTTTCTTTTTTTTAAAGAACAAGATGAATAGAGAACACGAAAATGTGGAAATAATGTCGCAGCCGTTTTGCTCTGGCTTTACTCTAGCCGGATACTTTAGACGAACAAAGAGAAGAAAAAAAAAGAAATGTTGTATACATCAAATAAGCATGGTGGTGGTTATATACACAGGGAAAAGCGTCGAGTATAAAAAATAAAGACAAAGAGGGGGTCTTGTATGACGTAGAGGACAAAGGATATTTGTTAGCACATTATTGAGCACACAGACAGAGATGATAGTAACTGTTGAAGAAGAAGAATAAAACATAAAATCGACTTTTCAAAACAATAAGTAGGAGGTTATACACGTAAGATACGTACACTAAATTTTAAATATATATTTATTGTTAGAAAAGGGAAAATGAGGAAGTTTGTACGCCAATAAAAACGAACGCAAATTTAACGACATATGAAGAAAAAAAAAGAAGAAAACAGAAAACGCTCACATATTCCCATAAACGTGTATTTATTATATTATATATTTTTCTTTCTCAAACACAACAAAAAATGGGGTAGTTGATTGTTAAGAGTTAGTGTGTTTGTATAGTATATGTACAAAGTAGGGATAGATAAAACGCACACAAAAAAAATAAACTCAATACAATCTTTTTTTATTCTCATATAAAACTTCCTACACATTTCTCTAAAAATCAAATGTTTAATCAATCGTGCTATTAACTGTTACAAAATGAACATCCACAGTCTTTCGGCAATTGCTATGGTGTTTCCTGTTCATTTTTGACTTATAGTTATGATAAAATTTAAATAAGCTTTATTAAATATCATTTCAGTATTCGAAAATCTAAAACTAGCTAAAACCGAAGCTGAAATGCACGAAATGGAATCTTTATAGATTAAATACTGATTCAAAAACAAGTTTTAAATATGAATACTTTCTAATAGTGATTAGATAACAATAGATGATATATATGTTTCGATAGTATCGCTTCTACATTGCATTGTCTCTACTTTCAAATGAACCGAGCTTAGAAAACGGTATATACATATTCAGTTACCAAAACTGTGGTATATCAGAAAGAAAAAACGTTTTGTTCCACACCCGCTTGACTATGAACAAAACCCTAGGCTGAACTGCAGGTGTGGACGCGCAGAATAACGCTATTCGTGCAGATCTTTACCGTTGACTCCTCAATAGTTCTTTTTATCACATAAGTAAGTTTGGAGCGTTAGAAAAATGAAAACACCTTCTTAAATAAAAATGAAACGCGTATAACACAAGATTTATGTTGACGAAGGCTGTTTAAAATATAAGATAGCCGAATACATTTCTGTAATTACTCTAAAAAACGACTCTGTACGTATATATAATAAATGTGTTAAACGTCACACAGAAAAAAGTACTGGATCAAGAATGAACTTACCGATAGACTACTACTACTACGCTTTTAAACATTTCTCTTTATCTTATATGAACAAAAGCACTAATTCAAAACATTATTAATACCATTGTACATCACTGGTTGTTAGTCGAAATATGTTCGACGAAGCTTTTAACGTTAAATCAGAACAGACAGATAAAAAGAACAATTAAAAAAGTATACCAACCATGATCTTCTGTTCTATTTAAGTATCTATTTTTATATCTATTTATGCACAGATATTCTTTTAGGTTTTTTCTATACGATATATTTCTGTATATCATCTTCATGACTATAGAGTACTATAGAGTAAATTGGATCACTTGCTCAAAGTTTCACAGTATTTAGTGTATTTCTAAGATGTTTTTGATCGGATAAACGTGCTATTGAATATTAAAGTACAATCAACATTTGTCTACCTATTGATGAAAAAATCTACTGCAAATCTTTGACTGTTTCCGAGCAGTATTCAAACTGAGACCAGCACCTTCAATGTGGCCCGAATTCGGAATTTCGGGGCATTGGCAAGAATTCGAACCGATACGTTCTTTTACTTCGGGTAATAGTGCTTACCATATGTGCTTACCAAAACTCTTTTGAAAACTATGTATCTCTAATTGTTTAACTGTCTCCTACGTAAAATTCCTAATTCGCAACTCTACAAGTAACATTCACCTCTTGTTAATCACCCAAGTTATTATAAGT